GAATGGGTCTGGTGGTGAACGAGGACAAAACGAAGTATCTCCTGTCAGCACCAAACAGTCAGAGCATACGCGTCTTGGCACCCACGTCACTGTTGACAGTTACAAGTTTGAAAAAGTAGACGACTTCGTTTATTTGGGAACCAGCATTAACACCAATAATAATGTCAGCCTTGAAATCCAACGGAGAATCACTCTTGCCAACAAGTGCTACTTTGGGCTGAGTAGGCAATTGAGAAGTAAAGTCCTCTCTCGTCGTACAAAGATCACACTCTATAAGTCACTCATCATGCCTGTGCTGGTGTATGGCGCGGAAGCATGGACAATGAAAGCATCTGATGAGGCGGCTCTTGGAGTTTTCGAGAGAAAGATTCTGCGAAAGATTTACGGACCTTTACGCGTTGGTGATGGCGAATATCGCAGACGATTTAACGATGAGCTGTATGAGCTTTACAACGATAAAGACATAGTGCAGCGAATTAAAATTCAGCGGCTCCGCTGGCTTGGCCATGTCGTTCGGATGGACAGAAACGCTCCTGCTCTGAAAATATTCAACGCGGGCCGCGATGCTGGGAACAGAGGAAGAGGAAGGCCTCCTCTGCGTTGGAAAGACCAGGTGGAGAAGGACTTGGCTTCACTTGGCATTTTCAATTGGCGTCAGTTAGCACAGAAGAGAAATGACTGGCGTGCTGTTTTGGACTCGGCCAAAATCGCTTAGGCGGTTACAGCGCCAAATAAGAAGAAGAGAAGTTCCATTGTCACTTTTTCGTCGCCATATTAACAACCTGACAATTAAGTAGATTGTGACTATTGTGATGCGACTAGCAGTAGATAAACGAATATTATTCGATTATCCCTTTTCCATGGTATTGTGAATGTTGATTTCTCGTTCAATAAGCGACTGTGAATAGTTTTTAGTCGCTCATCCTTCAACTGTTTATTTGTAAAATGATGAGCGCCTATAATTTATTCAAACTGACTTACTGAACGAGACAACGACGTTCACAATACCATGGAAAAGCGATTATCGAATAATAGGCGTTTATCTACTACCAGTCGACACTCGCAATAGGGGTGTTACTAACATTTTGTTCTTAGAATCGAAATTTGAACAAGCAAAAGGTATTTTACTTGTACACCAATATTGGGTTATTGGGCCGTATGCATAAAAACTGAGCAATAGCTTTTTCTTAAAATATATCTTTAATTTAAATTTATTTAAAAAAATTGAGTACAGTCTGAAATTTTATGAAAAAGCATTTGCTCAGTTTTTATGCATACGACCCATTGTGTCCAAACGCTTAACCCAAAGCAAAAAATCTTAGCACACACGTGTGATCAAACAATTAGACGTTAGTTTAAAATAAAGATTTCAAATTTTCAGATACAAATTTTTGAATAAATTCGGTTTGAAATATGGATCTTTTTATAAAAAATACTGTGGTCAGCGTAGCCGGAGTTGGACTTACATTTTCTCTGTCAAAATGCTAATTTTACTCCATTTTTCAATGAGGGAAGGTGTTCTATGCAAAAGGTGTTCTGCCCCTTTTCTTTGGCAACACAGAAAGGGGAATTCTACGTTGTGAGGTTATAATCCCCACCCCAAAATCGTTGAAAGAGAAGAGGTCTAATGCTCAATAACATGATAGTTGTGGTTCCTACTAACAATAAATCATCAATGTTGTTTCACACCCCCTCCAATATTGAACAGTCAAATATATTAATTTTTACGCAAAGAAACAACGATATTGTCGAAATATACTAGAATTTGATAATACTCACTTCTCTGAAAGTCATGAGGACAATGGGCCCAAAGTAAATTCCGTTTTAAAGTTACTTGAAAGACATGGACAAAGACAATGGCTGAATTTCTTTATTCATTCTGAACGTTTGGAATAAACTTTTTTGTTTACTTATTCTTTAGAACGTTCCTGATGATATGTTAACGTATATTTCAAACACATTCTGTTTATTCCGGCTGTGAAATGAGATTATCCGGAATGTATAAAGAAATGCAGCCAATATCGAAATGTGTAATTTCAGTGTCTGAATTATATCAGAAACCATTGTATCCGACATAGAAAACTGTAACAGTCGCTAGTTACATTGTGAAATATTCAGGTGACATAATGACACTAAAAAAATTTTAAATTATGTTCACTAAAATTTTGTTAATGTAAAATAAAGATTTTGGCAAGTAGTTATCGAATTTAAAGTAAAATTTAAACGTTTTTTAGATAGGATATTAATTATTTTTAAAGTTAAATGTTAATACAACTATTGTATTTATACTCCCAAATTTTGCATATAAAATCCCCTCCCCCAAAAAACTTAAATTGGGTAACGCCGCTTCGAATTTTTTGCGATTGATCAATTGTCAAAAATCTCGTTTTTAATCAAAAAGTTGTTTATTGAAACTACCTTCTTTTTTTGTATCATGGTTTGAATCAAAAGGTTCAGGTTGTAAGTAGCTTTTTCTAAAATTTGGCACTCCCACCCACAGGGATGGTTTTTGGAAGCAGGAGAAAAAGGAAAAGAATTCAATCACACTTCCTAAAATGGGATCTAAATTCCATAAAAAGGTGTGGATAATAGTGAATGGTGGTATTTTAAAACAAAAATAAATTTGTCAATGTTATTGTGACTTGTTAACATTTTATTTTTAATATCTTTATTGAGCTTTGTACCACGATTGTTTATTAGGAAAAATTGAAAAA